TGATTTTGTTGGATTCTTGTTTGACTTTAGAAGTTTGATGTCGTACCAGTCTTCAGGGGCCAGAAAGTTAGGTAGCAATTCCATTTGCACACACCAGCGATAAAACAGATACAGAGTGAGTGCCCCAACTGGGCAAACCTCAACATTGATGTGCCTAATACACGAACCAAACTCACGACGGCCGAACCGGTTTGTTTCCCCCTGCTCCATTATCATGACTAGTGCCCGGCAATCTGTAAATCCTTCGTGTTCCAGAATCACACTAAAAAGGTCAGGTAACTCCAAATTACGGGCAGACTCGCCTCTTAAGAGACATGCGTGGTACAGGAAATGACTCATCCGATTCCGTAGATCAGCACCTGTGTTCAGGCCCATATAATAACGAGAAATCGCAACCAGATCGGCTGTGGTGCAGTACCCATCCAGGAGAGATCCGACGCCTCGGTCAGCATATTCGCGTTTTTTTCGCGTTTTTTTTGCTTCAGCGTTGAAAGTAGTGCTTTAATCCAGCTGTTGCGTGGATGAGGGAGTGAATTCACACCTCTAGTCTGCTGATCGCTGTACAAATCTGACATAGCGCTCACGTACATATCTACAGTAGCAACTCCAATCTTTCGCTGTGAATTTTTGACACGAACTTCGCGATATACCACTTCTTCACGTAGAAATAGATGTAGCTTCGATGCCGTAACTTGGTAGCGTGTAGTTTCATGAAATTTCTTGCGGTCACACCATGCCTTGAACTCGCGCTGTTTTGGCTCGTACGCTCGAGCTGTATTTGCAGGGCGGGATTCACGACACCGGTCCAGCGTTGCGTGGGCACTCTCTTCAAGCTCCACCTGACGAGATGGCACCTCTACAGCTAGATCCAGCAATGGAGCTATTGCCTCTGTAACAGAAATACATCTACCTTCAAAACTGTAGTAGATGATTTTTATGGCATTTGGAAGGTTTTAACTATTCACGCTGAAACGTTTTTACTGAGTGACGCCGTCCTCCATACTTAGAGCATGTGGGTAAGAGGACACCTAGCCCTAAGAAGATAATCATTCATTACCGTACTGTACATCATCGCTGTCTCTAAGGGCGGCTAGGGGTACTCTAGATGCCATTTTATGCACAGGTTGAGCGGACGATGTAACATAATCAAAGCAGTCCGTCCACTAGCGTACGCTCAGAGAAAGAACGCGCGAGTTAACGTAATCCTAATGTGAATTCTCGTACATTGTCCCCGATCGGCACTTTAAACGAGGGATTACCAGAGTGATTGTAGTTATTAAAATTCAGTAGTGCGTAAAGTTCCTAAACATGACCTGAACCGGTTCCATGTCACCAAGCCGACGTAACATTAACTATTATGATCATGGTAGGTTTTATATACCATGCGGGACCGAGTTCCTAAGTTCCACAAAAAAACGCAGCACTGTCTCTCTTTATGTTCTTTCTATACTACCCCCTACCCCCCTCTGTATAATTTTTATATAGCGACGCCCGACTAAATTTATTTTAATTCTGATAAATATGTCGATCAATATATAGAGACTATAAAATTGGAAATCCAGTTTGAGAAATAAAATGATTGTCCGGGTCTACAGAATCATCCATATTGAGAGTGACATGTGCTATATTGGCTCTACTATCAACAAATTTTCATGGCGTTGGCAAGGACAAAAAAAAAACTTTCGAAGCTGGGTCGAAGGCAAGCATACACAGATGTCAATCTTTCCATACTTCAAAACTCACGGCATCGAAAATTCAAGATCACTCTCGTAAAGGAGTATGAGGCTGTAGACAAACAGCATCTTCAAGCATATGAACAACTTTGAATGGCAAGTTTAGAAACAGCAGTAAATAAAAACAATGCGTTTGCGATAGATCAGCTGCGAAAAAAAGAGTCTCGAAAAGATAATAAAGAGAAATTTGAGGCCTAGAAAAAAGAATACTATAGGGCAAAATAAGCAACGATGGGATGCAATAACTAAAGCCCGACAAGCAGCTCGATCCAATTGTGAATGTGGTGGCATATATTCTGCTGCAAATCACCATGTTCACGTTCGATCGAAGAAGCACAAGCGGTGGCTTGAAGAACAGAGTGCTTAGACTATGATATTTTGTTTTACTTTCTCCAGGTACATATAAACAGTCATGAATCACTCGCGTCAACCTTATCATAAAGATACCAGAAGTAATCGTCAGAAACGACGTGATGCCAATCACCAGCAAATGATACGAAATTTTGTTAATGCACGATGCGTGAAGGAGGAGCAACAACAACGAATTGAGGATCCAATTGCATATATTTTCAATGCTTAAGATAGGTTTTTTGTGACCCTGGCAATTTGTTTTAGAGATAAAGATAATAACAATGTGTTGATAACCATGGAGGCCGATACGCGCTAAGCGTCACTCATAGAAGCGATACATGAACAACATGAAGATAATTACATCGTTTCTACATTATCTTAAATATATTTCAGATAAATATACCTAGAAAGTGGACATTCAATACGTTGATACAGCTGATGAGGAGCCGGTCGTTATTGATGATAATGATGACAAAGTTTACACTCCAACAATCGCACCAATCAACGTGAAGCCATTTACATTCGACACTGATAAGGTGAAGTCTGATGCGAACATTCGAGAGAAGACCTTGAGTTTGGTGATGGCGAATATGAACCAGTCTTCGAAGTGAGGTATTATTTTTACAAGACCTGCAGGCGCTTCAATTCACTTTTGAAGTTTCCAATCTATTAATCTTATCGGTGCTATCGCTCATAGCTGTAATCGCTCTGTCACGATACACGATATAAGTTCCGCGTTTCATAGCGCAAGGGCAAAAAAATACGATGCGTTGCTCAGCGATGGCAGAGTCGTGTCGTTTGGAGCAATCAAGTCTAATGGTGAGCCCTATCAGCAATATCAAGATCGCACAAATTTAAAAGCATACCGTGACTATGATCACAAAGATACAAAGCGAAGAGAGCGATACTATAAGCGACATGGTCCGATTGATGATCAACATCCTTACACTCCCGATTGGTTCTCGAAAAACTATTTATGGTAGCGATCATGCAGCAATATCTGTATATACAGACTAAATATTCTAGAATATACAATCTAGCCATACAAGACTATATTGACAAATATAGATATGAAGTATACAGCCGCTTGATCGCTTGATCGCTGGATTTAAGGGTTTTGACTTTGTCGGAGAGCCCACGCGCATTGAAAAGATGATTGAATCTCAACAAGAGCGAATTCAAAAATCTCAAAATCAACTCAATCTCATCAATCGCGAGTTTCTGCCTGGTGATATTGAGAGCCTAACGCTTGCATAGTTTATATTACAGATGTCATTATCCGAGCTGCTTGAATAGTTTGTAGAACTCGTCTTCTTTTCCATGCTGCAAATAGTAGAGCCATAAGATACAGAAGCCATCACAGTGCCCGAAGCGGGGGTCTTGGATATCAATTTCCATTTCTTATCACGGAAGAGCGTTTCAGCTGGAGCTGGTTCGACGAAGTGCTCGAAAGCAGAGATATCACTTGCGGTGGACATTGTATAGTACGAGATTGCTTTATATTGGGCAAGATATAGATCTTCAGCAAAAACATAATATGAGCGAGAAGAAAATTATTAAATTATCTCGAACAACAGATGATCAACTAATGAAACTCGCTACTTCGCTTGGGGTAAAGGTAGATCAAATCGATTTCAAGCGAAATCTTGGTAGAAGCACAGATTATGCAATAATCAACATGGGCAATCCAACTATCGGAGGCACACATTGGCTGGCAGTCTCAAACAAAGACAAGCGCTACTTCGATCCTCTTGGCCTTCCAAGACCACGCGTTATTCCCAAAGACTATTCTTATTCAAAATTCGACCAGTAGCACTGGTCAGTACGCTGGTCAAATTCAATTCAACCTATCCACGATCTCTTCTCAAGCTGCGTTTGTCAACTGGGAAGAGGCTGTCATTTAGCTTCCAATCAAGCTTCAGATTCTCAATGCTGGCGGATATTCTGTTACCTCGACGGCTGCCTGTACCGTTGATCAGCTTGTTCCTAAGGCAGATGCCTGGCAATTCATTGATTCCGTTCAAGTTGTTGTAGATGGCGTGACCGTTCAGACGAATCATGTTCATGAAAATGTGAATGCTACGTTCAAGGCGCCAACCGAATGGGACTACAGCTCCTACATTAAACGAGGACCAAGGAGCAACTTCGTGCTAGATGAATATCGTCTACCAATTCCCGGAGTCGCCCAAAATCTTGACAACATGGCAACATCCAATTATATTAACGGCACCGTTGGCGAATGGGGTCTTTTTAACACATTTTCGAATGTAGGTGCGTACGAACGATCGCTATTCACCGCGCTTGATCAAAGCAGCGGTAAACTTGCATATGATATCATGGGATCTAATGCCAGTATCCAAGCTGTGTCAAAGCCGCACGTATACGTCGCGCCAGCTGGCGCCGTTGCTGCCGGTGCTCAATTTTACGTAGCTCATTATTTAGCCTGCATTAAGCTCTCTGACTTATCCGACTACTTCAAGAAATGTACAATGCAAAAGAACACGAAGGGGTTCATCTATATCAGCTATAACAGCTCTGCTACGTCAATTACAACTGGTGGATCACCAGGTACGGTTGCAGCAACGAATATTGCTAGCATGAACAGTAACATGAGCTTCGGCAACACTTGCCCAATTCTCCGGAATAGTTCATCCGCAAATACAACCAACACTGGCGAGTCAACTGGTTTAGCTGTTCCAGGATCAACAAATTTATTAGTCACAGCCGATGTTAGTGGTACTGCAACTTCGGAAAGTGGTATTGCTCCATCGCAGACATTCTCTCGTCTACTGGTTCCAACGTATAGCCCAAATCCATCAGCTGACAACGCTCTCATCCAAAAGAAGACGTTCCGTTACTTTGAACGTGTAATCAGCAAGTTTGCAAGTTTACTGTCCAATCCGGTCAGTCATTTTCATGGACGGTGACGAATGGTATTGCCAATCCGAAGAAATTGATTATGCAACCTGTTATTACAAATGTAACTCCTGGATCAAGCTCTTTACCAGATGTGATCAATCCATTCCGTAGTTGCTTTTCAACGATGCCAGCCACGACGAGTCCTTATGCAGCTTTAAAAAATATCCAAGTAACGGTGGGTAACGTCCCAATTTGGAATAACTCTGTCAACTTCGGCTACGATCTATTCGTACAAGAAATGTCAAAATCTGGCGTTGATGGTGGCCTCAATGATGTCACTAAGGTTGGCTTACTGTCTCAGCATCTATGGGAATCACTGTACCGATTTATTGCTGTTGACATTGGCCGTCGTCTACCCAGCGACGATGGTGCAAGCAAGTCGACAATTGTTTCAGGCACGAACAACACGAACTACGCGCTTACGATTTATTCTCATATTCTACGTGAAGTCGTAGCAACTGTAGATACTGCTATGGGCACTGTCTCTCAAGGCGCGGTTCAAAACTAAATGCCAACCCGCTATCAATTAGTATTTTTATTGGCCAAATATAGGATCCAGGCACAAATGAACGGGTTCTTCACTGATAACCAAACTAAGCAAAAAGCGTATGATCGCTACTACAATGCAATGGCCATAAGTGATTTTGTCCAAGGCGCGAAGTTGAAAGCAAGGATTCAGCAGCAAGCTTTAGACGGCGCTAGCAGCGATTCTTTGGCAGCTCTGTTCCAACAAGGCATGGGCAAATCACGAGATTATGACTATGATCAGATCACTAGTAAGCTCACGAAGAAGGCTCCTCCAGTAGTTAAGGGTGACGAAGGAAAGCTCCACGACTCACCAAAAGAAACCAAACCCTCACAAAAGAAACCAAATCCACATCTTCAAAAACATATAAGTATATTCCTCAGCAAACTGATACGGACGGGAGCATGAGCGCTCCACCGAGCTTCTCGTACGAGGAAATGATCAATGACGAAAATTTCATGAATCATATGAACAACTTCGATTACACTAAAAGAAAGAAACAAATGGATGTGGAAAAAGCTTTTCAAGATCGTATTCGAAAAGACTTGACGAAAAATAAAGATTTTAGAAGCAAGGTATTTATGCATAACCGTAAGACTACTAAAGAAGAGATTGACGATAAGGCCAGTAAAATCGCAAAAGCGTTCTTGAAACGTAAACGTGATGCACCTGCTCCAGATGAGACATCTCCTAATCTCCGACCAAAAACTAAAATCAAACACGAAGAAATGGAGCGCAAAATGAGCTCTGCTGATCTTGGTGCTGATAAGAAAGAGGAGGTCAAGGAGCGTGTAAAAGCTTATTTTAATAAAGTTGTTGATGATAGCACAACTGCGAATCGAAACCATCTTCTTAATACTATCAGAACACAATTTAAATCGGTCGTAGATGACAAACATGGTAATAATTATATTGATACGCATGCATCGAAAATGACAGGAAACATACGAAGGCCAACATGAAACCAAATACAAAAAAAATATGGAAAGAGTGGATGAAGGTTGTATTAGACACATAAGTTTCTACTGCCACAATATCACTCTACATCGAGAAACTATCCTTCCGAAGTTGCGAATTGTCTTTGAATACGAATGCGCTTGGTGTTTTTTTTTGCTAGCTGAGAGAAATTTATTTGTCAAGCGCCCTCTCACTCCTCGAAGCACCTTGATCTTTTTTTGCTTCAAATTTATCTCAATCACGCTGGAATCCTTTTCATCTTGGACTGGCAGCATAATCCTTCCATCGATTATCATTACTGAATCAGAGGATATCACAGTTGAGTTGATTGTGGCTGTACCTTCGGGCACTGGCTTTGAGGTTTTGGCTCTCATAGTCTATATAAGTTGGCCCATTTTTCTTTCTAGTTCTTCAATACGCTTGTTCAATTTTTTGATCCTCATGAAGTTGATGGCTGTGATCTTATTGTAGTCAATGTTCATTTGAGCTCCTTCGATGTCATCATCATTTTCTTTCTTCATGTTTTCATTTCGAGTAATAGTCAACAGATTCATGTAGCCAAGGCGATTCAAGTCTTGAGCAATGAAGCCAAACCTCGGAATGGTTTCTTCCGATCCAGTGTAGTGACACGTGAATACATCTGCCTTGAAGGAGTTTTCACAGTAGGATTCGTCAAGTTGTTTGATGTTTTCTTTAGCTCGTCTATACATGGCACTAACGGAAACTGTTACTGGGCCCAGCTGACTGAATGTTGATGCAGTTGATGTTGTTTGAGAGTATATACTTCCACCAACATTGAATGTGTTCGATACTGTCCCTGAAACATGCAGTGTTGCAGAAGGTGAACCAGTTCTTATGCCTACTCTCCCGGTAGAACTTATTGTTAGTCGTCTTGTATTCCCAGTCATCATCATGAGATCATTTACTGTTGTGTATTAAAAATATGCAGAGTTGGTTGAAGTCGCATTTGTTGCATTGCTCAGCTGCAATCGAAAAACCAATGGGCGTTGCATTTGATAATTCCATGAAAATGAGCATATCGAAGTTTGCAGATCCATCGTTTAATGCGTTAGATGCCTTTATGTAGATATTGCCAGAATTCAGTAAAACTGGCGCTGTTCCAAATGAACTGGTGTATGGCGTATTCAAATCGAATATCATCTTATTAACAGTGTCGGAAACAAGGTAGAGACATCCAGCCGCTGGTGTAGGGAATGAACCAGCAGGAGTTATACAAAAGGCATCCGCTGAAGTTGCAAGAGTATATGTATGAGGGAATTCACTTTCATAAGGCTGACTATTGCCAACATTGAAGCAGAATCTATGCGTCTGAGACGTAAAACCAACCGATGGTTTATCATTCCAACTAATATTAAATAAGTCAGCGCTTGTAGCTGAAACACCACCTACTTGTGCAGTGCGATCAATCGAATATACTAGATTTAGAATGGGATATGTTCTATTGGTGCTGGCGGATCCATCAATTTGCGTACCAATGATCAGTGGACTGGAATCATCCACACGATAGACTCGAATACTATCTCTCAAGCTCGTGCTCGCAATGTGTTTGATCTGGTTTGTGGTAGCGCTGCCCGATCCGAACTGAATCACTGAGTTTGCATTGGTAACCATAGCTTTGCTCGCTGCGACAGAACCCGGAGTGATACCACTCAGATACGTTCCATACCCCGTTACTCCATTCAAATATGTTGCCGATGCTGTGATAAGTGTTCTGTTCATGTAAAAGCTGGTGGGGTTAAAAGACCCGCTCACATCAAGTTGATAACCTGGAGAAGTTGTATTGATACCGACATTACCTCCACTTTTAATCGAGAGCCTTCTCGTATTATTAGCATCCAGGTATAGATCGCTTGCCGTACCTGATCGAATATCGCATGCGCCACCAGCACTTGCAATACCGATGGTGAGCGTGCTTACAGCTGCTGAGTTAGTAAATAAAGCAACATTGCCTCCAGCACTCTGTGTGTGAGTGATACCTGAACCCGACAGATTCAAACTAGATAATGTACCAACGCTCGTTATGTTTGGTTGAGCTGGAGTAAGCAAAGTTCCAGTCAATGATGTTGCGCTGAGAGAATTTATTCCAGCGATATTTGGGCTACTGTCAGCAACCAAAGCTTTGTTTGCGGAAGCTATCCCCGCAGTGATACCGGTGATAGATGTTATATCAGCCGAAAAGCAACTGCAACTCCATTGATGTTAATTGCGGAAGCGTTTATAGATCCATCTACTTCTAACTTATACGTTCCAGATGGTGCTACGGTTCCAATTCTCACGTTCTGGCTAACGTCCATCCACATTGCAATTGCATTGCCTGAATAGATACGAAAAGTATGTTGCGAGATTGTTCCGAGCCTAGGCGCGATGTTTGACACTTCGAGCACACAGTTCATTGGCGTAGTAAGACTGTTTGTCCAACGCGCATAACTTGCAAATGAAGTTGTGTTGTTGGTGATCGTTGTTTGCAATCCAGTTGTGAGAGTTCCAAGCAATGTAATATTATGTTGAGCTGCTGTGCTAATCGTTCCAGTCAACGTAAATGCTGTCAATCATCCAAACACATTCAGAGATGACAATGTTCCAATCGACGTGGTATTCGGTTGCGCTGCCGTCAGTAGAGTTCCAGTAAAATTTACTGCCGTCAAATTATGAAATGAGCTGATATCTTTATTCGCATCGACCATAAATACTTTGATGCTGTAACCGTTCCAGCTGTGACTCCTGACAGTGAACTGAGATCAACAGCAGCTCGTGCAATCGTCAGCGATCCACAATTGAGATTACCTGCTACAGCCAATGAACTGAAGACTCCAGTCCCACCGGGTTTCTGGTATCTCTTGCCAGCGGTGGCGATGGTCAAGTAAATATTTGATCCAAGGAAGAAAGAACTATTGAAGACTGGACTATTGGTTGTTGAGGGAAGAGAAGACATGTTATTTACTTGTATATACAATCACAGAAATATGATTAACTTCTATGAAACGATAGATAAAAAAGCTCCAGAAACATCCAAAGAATGAGAATGCAC